CCCAAAGGCATGGGATTACAGGCTGAGCCACCGAGCCCAGCTAGAGAGGTTTATTTCATTGATTTTTTTTTTTTTTAATTGGAGTCTCCCTCTGTTGCCCAGGCTGGAGTGCAGTGGCACGCTCACAGCCACTGCAGCCTCAACCTGCTGGACTCAGGCCATCCTTGCGCCTCAGCCTTCCAAGTAGCCAGAACCACAGGTGTGCCACCACACCTGGCTAATTTTTTGATTTATTGTAGAGACGAAGTCTCGCCAAAGTTGCCCAGGCTGGTTTCGAACCCCTGGACTCAGGCAATCCTCTCGCCTCCACCTCCTAAAGTGCTGGGATAACAGGCGTGAGCCACCGCGCCTGGCCTAGTCTCTCTGTAGCCACCGCACCAGCTATTTCATCAGTTCTAAAACACATCTTGTCACACTGTAGACTCTGGGAAGAGGCAGCCTGGATGGAGGGGGTGTGGCCGCTGGGAAAGCCGGACCCTTCACACCAAGCCTCTGCCTCCCTCGCCACCAGGGCACGTTCCTTTCTGGGATGGGGCACATGGGCCCTTGATTTGGTCCCGGAGATGTGACAGGGAGTCACGATAATTAGCAAAGGGAGTTCCCCCATTTTGCGGAAGACCCTGGCTAAATCTGGCTTCCTGCAGGGAGTGAGGCAGGCAGTCTCACAGTTGCTTTGTAAGCTGGGCCTCCTGTTAAGAGGCACACACGTTTCCTCTTCAGCAGTCCCACTGGCCAGCAGGTCACGATCCTCAGGATTCTGGGGTCTGTCTTGGAGCGCGGCCCCCACGGGAAGTGCGGGCGGCATCCGTGCTGACTTCCTTCCACATTGGCCTGCAGGGCATCTCCCTGGCAGGCATGACAGTGCCGTCGCTGGGCTGTGGCCTCTGCTGGACCCATGGCTGTGGGGGCGTTTGCTGTGGCCTCTGCTGGACCCATGCCTGTGGGAGTCTCCCCATAGGAAGGGCACGGCTTTTGACCCTGTGACATCTGCCAAGTTGAGTGGAGAGGGACAGTTGATGTAGAGGAGCCGAAAGGGGCCTGTGTCCTTCCTTCCTGACATCCAGTTCCCATGAGGCCGGACGTTCAACGTGGAAGTCGGGATTAAGGAGGCAGCTGCAGAAAGCAGTCTGGATGTTTGTTTTGTTTTTTTTTCTTGTTTTTGTTAAGTCACCAGTGGCACAATCGTGGCTCGCCTCAGCCTCGACTTCCTGGGCTCAGCCTATCCTCTCGCCTCAGCCTATCGAGTAGCTGGGACTACAGGTGCGTGTCACCACACCTGGCTTTTTTTTTTTTTGGTCGAGAGGCGGTCTCACTCTGCTGCCTAGGCTGGTCTTGAACTTCTGGCCTCAAGTGATCCTCCTCCCGCCTCCGGCTCCCAAAGTGCTGGGATTATTTCTCAGACGGGGGCGGGGTGAGCCACCATGCCCGGACAGGCTGGGTGTCTGTTGAGGGTTTTTCTGTGCTCTGTGGGTTGTTTTGTTTTAATAAAGGCAACCCCCCAGAAAAGCTTTAACTTGGGAAGCAGCTGAAGGGAAGCGGACCAGCGGCAGCTAGGGGTGCGGTTCTGTCTATTGCGTTCCGCGAGGGCGGGCTTTGGGGATGGGGACGGCGCCCTCGGCCACCCCGAGTCACCGGGAGCCACGGGGAGGAGACGCGGCCCCGCTCGCTGCCCGCGCCACCCCCACGCCCCC